TGATGAGGTAGGATTGCTAAGAACAAATGGGAAGGCAACTGAAATAGGCTTGAAAATTCCACCCAGGAGCAGGAAACTTTCCCTTCTCAATACAAGAGCCTAGAAGGCCATTAATTCTTGCTGCACCTTTTTCTTTTCTTTTTAATGAAAGCTAAGTTTATACCTCTTACAGCTGTGGAAAAATCTTCCAAATATAAAGAAATGCAGTACTGTCTTGTAGAGTCCATAGACAGCTCCTATGTTTCAACCCTGATTCAGTTTGGGCAAGAAACAGCAGAGTGACGTTAACGACTCTGGTCAGTTTCGATGGTGCTACTCAGATCCCTATGGGCAGTGGTAAAACTGTCAAGAATCCTGTTGATTTCACAGTCCTACTGCTTAGGGAAGCTACCTGAACCAGCAGAGAGTAGGCACTGAAGTTATTTACAAGGGCTTCGAAAAGTAGTAGCTCTAGAGGAAAGATAGTAGAGACCTACTGACCATTCCTCTCCTCACAACAGCCAGGAGACTGGAGAAGCCAGGACAATACTGGAAACCCACACCTCTCACAGCCGCCTGGAGGCTCTGAAGGGGGGAGGGGGGATAGGGAGCTCCTTCTTCCTTTCCAGCAACTAGAGATGAGTGGAGCATCACATTCTTCAAAGGCTAAGAATGACAGTGACTTTCAGAAGGGTCCAGGGACAGCAGTTGGTAGAAATCCCAGCACCTATCCCAGAAACTGGATGTGGCATGCTGGCTTTTCACTTGACCACAGACCTCAATGGCGGACGCTCTCCACTCTAATTTTTTATATCTGCTTGTGATAAGTAGGTTTAGTCCTCTAGCCAGCATGTATCTGGTAATTTTTCCAACTCACTTTCAAAGCGTGCCAAAAGATTTGAGAGTTCATGAGTTTTGGAAGCTAGATGCATTGCATGAAATGAAAGGCTTTTTAAGAGAAGCAGTGATTACTGGTTAAACCAAAAAAGATCTGAACAGAGTATAATATTTAATTATTCTCACAGAGACCTTTAGTATAACCTCCAAAAAATGGATAAGCCAAGATAATGCTAGGATTTACTTTAGTACATTAGTAATACAAATAAGTGTGATTAGAAAAAATGTGCAATCACATCATGTGCAACATTTCTTGGAACAGCAAAGAAAATTCTAGAACACCAAAATTATACAATCGTGGTTTATTGACCAGTCTGAGCATTCTTTGCTTTTTATAAGAGACCCATACAAAAGCACTGTATTATGCAAATAGTTTTTGTGAAAATGGAGACCCTGGATAGTTAATTAAATTCTTGATCATCAATTAGCTACTCTTCTATAAAGTTAACTTTATAACATGGTACAGACTGAGCACTGAACTGGGTATAATCTGCAGAGCATGAGAAGATGAGGCTATGAATAACCAGCATCAGATTCCTGCCTCTGATTAGCAAACCCTAACAGCTCTGATAAAGAGTCTTTTGAACAAAAGTTGTTTGAAAAATGCATGTACATGCTGTATTATATCTTTTTTGAAAGAAAACGCAGAGATCATTGCTATGTGCTTCCCTCAACTTATTTTTATTTTAGGAATAAGTCTTGTCTGTTGAATATTGTTTATTTTTATTCCATTTCTGTATAAGACTGCATATTTTGATAGCTATGTTTATGAATTTAAGTTTAGAAACTCATTTATTGCTCTGGGTCACCTTATGCCTATTTTTGCTTTAAGTCGGATATTAAAAAACAGTCTGAATTATTTGAGTGTGGTCTGGAAATTTCATTTTTCCATAGCATGTATCAATTTATTTTCCTGTTCAGCAGAGTTAATGGCTGCTGAAAAGCATGTCACCATATTAGTTGATTGGCTGATGTACTAAAGAGTGACTCAGTGGGAGAATTTAAAAAGAGTAAACATTTTTCTAGAGCTATAAATGAAGAACACTGTTTTCTGCCAAAACACTGGTCTTTCACATTTTTTCTCCTCTTATTTTTGCAATGAATTTAAATTACTTACTATACATTTGATGTTTTATCTGATCATTTGCTATCACAAGAGTTTAGGGTGTTGTACTAGCACATGCAAGGAAAGGCTGGTTACCTATTTGTTGAACACTAACCATAAGAAAGGTTTACCTGGTTTTGTTTTTAAATGGTGCTGATTTGTTTTATGAAGGGTCAGAGTTACTTCAAGTATGACTGATTAGCCAGATTTCTATATTTGAAATTTAAGACCCCCAAAGTTGTACAATCTGAATACCTAGTTTCATAAGAAACATATCAAATTACAGCAATTGCTCCAGCTACCAATTCCCATGCAGAGATCTCAATGATACCTGAAGATATTTGAAGCACCTTTCAAGTTGCTAAGAAAATCAAAGTATGTTAACAGTATACTTCAAATTCTCTATTAAGTGATATTAGCAAATTAATCTGGTCAGACTTCTCACAGTGATCTACACATTCGCCCATTTTTACAACAATTTCTATACTTCGGAATAAAACCACAGACCCGACAAATCACCAACTGGTACACAAAACTGATGACAAACTGATGACAAAGAGGTCAATATGAGCATATCACTTTCATGTTCCAATCACTATACTCACTACCCATCCAATATTAGATCACATTCAAATCTTCGACTTAGCTTGGGCCTAGCCCTAAGATATCACAAAGGTCTCCATAACAAAGACCTCCTGAAACTGCAGCGGTCAAACACACAAGGAAATTCTAGAACAGTGGTTCTCAACCAGAGGTATGCAGAGGTCTTCCAGGGAGTACTTCAATTCATTTAGACATTTTCTAGTTTTACAACAGACTACATAATAAGCACTAGCGAAGTCAGTACAAACTAAAATTTCATACAATGACTTGTTTATACTGCTCTATATACTATACACTGACAAGTAAGTACAATATTTTATAATTATATGGTAAAAATGAGAAAGTAACCAATTTTTCAGTAACAATATGCGGTGTGACTTTTTTTATTTTTTGTAAGCAAGTAGTTTCTAAGTGGGGTGAAACTTGGGGTACGCAAGACAAATCAGACTCCTGAAAGGAGTACAGTAATCTGGAAAGGTTGAGAGCCACTGTTCTAGAAGACCATGGCAGAACAAGTAGAAGCTGAAGACAGGGCTTCTTGGAGGCATAATTCTCCACCATAGCTAAGAATGACCACAACCCTGACCACCTTCTGCACAAACTGCAGGGCTTAACATTTTGTGAGAACAGTGCCAGATAAACTCTCAAGAAAATGGATACACCTTGCACAGGAAAACAATACAAAGTAAATACTGAAATCATTGAGATCTTTTGATATGCACAACAAGGTCCTGGTCCATGATGAGGGCTCCTAGGTGCTATATAGTAATACAAATAATAAAATGGACACAATCATCTTGTATCTATAGGGACAACAGATAGTCAAGAAGGGCATACACAGAGGACAATAACTGAATTACATCTCCCCACTTCCTCTGCCTTTGAGGCTCTCTCCACCCACCCAAAAGACAGTCAGCTTCACAATATAGATTTTAAAAAGTGACCTGTATATTTAAACATTCATATTATCAAAGTACGGTCATGATTAAATAATTTGAAAAAAGGGGAAATGGTAATGATATATAACATGCTGTTAAATACTGTTCATTTTGTAACAAGGTAGTATTTAGCTGTGTCATCACACTAATTGAAATGTTTTATTGTAAATGACTTAAAATATCAATAAATAAAATCTTTTTCCTAATAAAAGGTTGGTCATTCTATGATGTGGATGCTGTGAATTAAACAGTGTAATCTCTTCTATAGTGACATTATTTTAACTATTCTTTCCCCACTGGTTATATCATACAGTAATCCTACCAACATCTCAAAGTGGCCACAGCTATTATCATCCTTATGTGCCATTCTGAAAGAAGCACACAAAAACGGCTTCCATATGGGGAGACAGAGAATATGAAACCAGGGTCCCATGCACTTCTTTTAATGATTGTAAAGTACTACGGTGATGAGAGTTCTGTAAAATTCTCCACAGATACCAGGCTGTTGATTCCACCTTCCCCCCTCAACACTGGATACATCTCTATTTTGCGGATACGCCTCGCCCCACAACAGTGATCTCATTCTGATAGCCCCCCTGCCATGCTCCACTACTGTCAGTAACTAGTCTCCTTCCTCCACACATACTCGGCCCACGTTACTCCCCACCAATATCTACAGCCAGCCCCGTCACCCCATCTTCCTGCCTCTGTACCTGCTGCCAGCCTAACTGACCACCTACCTATCGCTTCTTTCTTCCTCCACGACTCTGACGGAAAGCGGTTGCATCTGATCTAAGATCACAGCAAGGCTGCGCCCTGTAATACCACTCCGGCTTCCTCTCCTCCGTCCCCCATCTAGATCACCCCTACACCCCTGATCAGCTCTGCTCCCCCAGCGCCCGCCACTAGCCAGCTGCCTCCCCAGTTGGCCACATCAGCTCGGATGGAAAAAATCACCCCCCGTGCGCGGGCAGATTGCACCCCGACGTTACCGTGTCTGGTCCCGTAGGGGTCTATCTACACGCGAAGTGTGTGTACTTCGCAATGTGCCTGCTAGATGTCAAACCCCTCCAGCTTTACCGCCGCCTGCCTCCCCGCTGGAACCGGCCCAGGCTGGGTGGGCATCGGGGAGAGGCGCCTGGGCGCCAGGGTGCACACACCCCGCGGGCGCGCCGCGGCAGGGGCTTGGGAAGCGAGGGAGCGCTCCGACGCCGTGTCGCTCCCGGGGGGTGGGGGGGACTGTCTGGAGGTGAACCTGCCTCCGGAGGCGGCGCGGTACCACACACACACCCCCCCCCGCGCTGCCAGCTCCGGGCCCCCGCGGGCAGAGAGCCGGGCCGGGCCGGAGAACCCCCCGGCCATCCCCACCCCGGAGCCAGCTATAGCCCCCCGCCCCTCAGCCAGCGGGGAGCGGCGGCCCCGGCCCCGGCCCGGCCGCGCTGGGCAGGCGGGCTCGCGGCGCCCGGTCCCGCCGGCACCTGGATGTAGTTGGTCTCGCAGTACTCGGCCACCCGCTCCAGGTTGGTGTAGCTGTCGAACAGGGCCCGGCGCCCGCCCGGGATTTCCTCCTCCAGCAGCATCTGCAGCTCCGCCATCTTCACATCCTCGCCCCCGCCGCGCCGCCGAGACCCGGCCGGGGGCCCAGAGAGAGAGAAACACCCACCGCGGCGCGGCGCAACAACCGGGCACCCAACCGCGCAGGCGCAGAACCCGGGCCAGACAGACCCCCCCGGCGCCCCTCACGCGCACACACACTTCCGGTTCATCCTGGCCTGGGGATGGGGGGGCTGTACGCTAGTAACCCCGTCCCCACCGCGCGGGGAGGGGCAGTGAGCCTGGAGGGGCCGGGGGGAGAGCTGAGGGGAGGGGCGAGGGAGCAGGGGGGGCTGGGGAGGTCTGAGGGGAGGGGCTAGGAGGAGTGAGGGGAGGGAATTGAAGAGGGATGAAACAGGAGGGATGGTGAGAACAGAAGGAGACCATCTGGCTGTGCAGGGCAGGGATTGTATTTTATGACTGAAGGGATGGAGTTGGGGGCAAGGATGAAACCCAGGAAATTCTCTCTCCGCCCTTGCATCCATCCCTTTGCTGCCTCTAAGTGCTGCATTTTTAAACCTAGCAGCCCCCAGAATTGTTTCCTTACACACTGCTGTGCACCAAACAGGCATTTTGCACTTGCACATCTAGACCCCCTGTATACATGTGCGTAAGAGTTTGAGGCGAGTAAATGGGTGTACAATCATAGTACGCCTCCATCCTTTCAGAGTTGAAAATCTGACCCTTGAAGTTCAGTAAGTTTCCAACACCTTCATTCTCTGTTTCTCTTTAGTTTCCATCGCAGGTTCATAATAAATCAAGTCATAAATAATAAATAAATAAATAAACCAAATAAATATAATCCTTGAATAGAGGATGCTGTGTAACAACAATTAACTGATACTACAATTAAACTAAAGGCCATTATTGACTAAACATATTGTGACAGTTTCCAGAGTGGCAGCCGTGTTAGTCTGTATCAGCAAAAACAACAAAGAGTCCTTCTGGCACCTTAGAGACTAACAAACCTTCCTTCCAACGCTACAAAAAGAAGGATTCTACGCGGACTCCTCCTGAAGGTCGAAACAACAGACTGGACTTCTACATAGAGTGCTTCCACCGACGTGCACGGGCTGAAATTGTGGTTTGTTAGACTCTAAGGTGCCACAAGGACTCCTTGTTTTTTTTTTTAAATATATTGTGACTATACTCTATTTACCTCAGTCTAACACGTGTTGAAGATTCCCCAGTGAATTTTACAAATAAACCATTGGAGCCAGTATAATCTGTGTACTTCATGCCCTCCCTTTCTGTATATTTTGCTGCCCATCTGCTGAAGATAGATGCCTGATGATCATAAAATTACACCCAAAAAGGAAACAAAAATAAACAATATATTTAAGACAATATAAAAATATATTAAAATCACAGTGTATTATACACGGACATTGAAAAGTATATATCACTGAGCTTGTCATCAAAAATTCTAGGAAAAGTACTAGATATTATTGTACAGTGATGATACCCAGTAATTTCACAGTTATGGGAATTATTTCAAAAAGCCAATGTCAAGCACTTTGTTCAACCACATTTTATTAATGTATTTAAGAATGGAGTCAATTTGACTACTCCCATGCTTAAAATTATGGACATGCTTAAGTATTTTGCTGAATCTGGGCTTAATTTCCCCCCCCCCCTCAGGTTTGTGACTTAAGTTCTCTGAAAATAGTGTTTTCTTTACTAACAATTTTGACCTACATTTCCATTTTGTGAACTTTTGACTTTGTGCTGCTGTCTTTTTAAATTATGTAATTGTAGCATGTCAGTGTCAAGCTAGCAGCACATTTCTGAAACAGAAGTCCAATCCTGCACCTATTCATCTCAACAGGACTTTTGTAATCGACTACAATGTGCACCAGGATCAGGTTCTTGTACTTTTTATGTAACTACTCCTCAGTTCTAATTAGAAGAAGAATAAAATGTTTCTTTTGTATGGATCCCACTTAAAAAGCAGCTATTGTACAGGGAGAGTGAAAGGGTAAATTCTGAGCCACAAACCAGTATGCTTTTCAAAATCAAAAGAGAACATTTTATAATCCAAAGGGCTCGCTTGCCTTTGCCACTGATTTACTGTGTGATCTCAGGCAAGTCACTTAAAATCTATACAATTAAAATGATAATACCCATCCCACGTGAATGTTGAATGATTTAATTCCTCATCATTTTTCCCTTTAATCTGCACAGAAAGTCCCTTTTCTGTGCACAGAACTCTGCCTCCCATACAGAAAGCTAGGTCAGCCATCACTGGAGAAGCATTTCAGCTTTCCCAGGAGAGCTCTTTTCAGGGCTGGGTATCTGGACAGGGGGAGAGGGTAATCTGACATGCATCACCCTCCCATGAGCCCCACAGAGCTTCTCCCACAAATGTAATACAGACCCAGGCAGTATTACATTTCTATTCTTACAGTTTCCATGGTGCAAGGGATTCTGAGGTAGCCACCAGCTAGAGAAGCCTCAACACTGCAGTCCTATTGGAGCTCCACAGCCATGGCACTGTGGAAGGGAATATTGCCGGGGATTTAGAGCTGGCACAAGGACCTCCACCTAGATGGGCCTGGCCTCCAATTGATTTCCTAGAATATATGTGGATTCTAAAGAATCTGCAGGATTTGTGAGCCAGACCTACAGCCTTTGGGCAAGCCCCATTCTGCTCCTTCTCTCAAGAGAATAATTGGGAAGAAATCACTGCAAGGAAAAACTCCTGGAGACGTCTACTTCTTAGCCCTACTCCCAGGTTTTCTCATGGGATAAGTGATTGGATGTAATGTTTGTTAAAGTGCTTTAAAACCCTCATAGGCAAAGCGTTAGTCTAACATTTTAAATGCAGTTTAAATTTTGCAACTTAAAACTTCTTGATAGTGTGTGTTAATTTTTCTACAAGCAGTTAAGGTTTCATGAGACTAATTCATATTTCATAGCTGTAACCAGTTTAACTCCATATAGACATGTGAAAACAATGAAATACCCTATCAAACGTATTCTACAACTACATGCATTGAAGATTTCAATACTGTACAATCTCAGTATTGCCAATTCCAGAAGTTCAAAGATCATGAGTCACACCCCAAAAAACACTCAATTCTTTTTAAGATACAATCATGTTTTTTAGTCTGTCTTCTGATTTGTGAACACTCCTGGCCCACCCGCACTGTTGCGTGTGAATTTCGCAGTGTTGCCAACCTTGACAAATATATAGGAGGAGGTTTTGACCCCTGCTGCAGGAGCTCTGGCTAGAAGACCCTACTGAGTTCACATTACAAAAAATGGTGTATGAAGTACTGCCTGCTGATGTGGAGCTTCCAGCGTCTCCCAACCCACCCCCCACCTTCAACATACTAATTAATTCTGTGTCCCAGCTCGGATCTGCCAATTCCTCAGCCTCATATCAATTAATTATGCACCCACCTAGCCCACATCAATTTTGTGCCCTCTCAGCCCCACATTAATTCATATTGTGCCTACACCACTGTCTCAGACCCACATCAACTCTGCCTCCCACCCCTGTACTACATCTGCCTTTGCCCCTTGGCCTACCTCTGCAGCTCCAGGTGTTCTTCACACACACTCCAGGCCTAGGATGAAGCTCCAGAGGCTCTTGGCACATGCCCTCAGCCAACAGGGGGTCAGGAACTTCAGGACTCTTCACTCATTCGCTTCTTTGGTACCAGTCAGTCAGAACTCATCCCACATATAATCCCTACATTATCTGTTTGCAAAATGAGGATTTGCCAAGACCTGCAAGGAAGGTTTTCCAAAGATGCTGATAAGAGTTTTGGTTTGGATTAGATAGCAACAGATTTTGGTGAGAGGGAGTTTGTAATCATAGAAATGTAGGACCGGAAGGGATCTCGATACGTCATCTAGTCCAGCCCCCTGCACTGAGGCAGAACTAAGTATTATCTAGACCAGTGTTTCTCAATGACCGGTCCGTGGAGCAGCGCCAGTCCCTGAGATTTCCCTAACACAGTTTAAGAAGGCAGCAAGCCGGCCTCTGGTATCAAAAAGGTTGAGAAACACTGATCGAGACCATCCCTGACCGGTGTTTGTCTAACCTTTTCTTAAAAGCCTCCAATGACAGAGATTCCACAAACTCGCTAGGTAATTTGTTCCTGTGCTTAAGTATCCTCACAGTTAGGAAGTTTTCCTAATATCTAACTTAAATCACCATTGCTGCTATATACATACCTGAAGACTATTACCATGTCCCCCATCAGTCTTCTCTTCTCCAGACTGAACAAACCAATATTTTTCAGTCTTTCTTCAAAGGTCATGTTTTCTAGACCTTTAACCATTTTTGTTGCTCTCCTCTGGACTTTCTCCGGTTTGTCCACATTTTTCTCAAAGTGTGGTGCATAGAACTGGATGCAGTACTGCAGTTGAGGCCTTATCAGTGCTGAGTAAAGTGGAAGAAGTACTTCTCTTGTCTTCCTTACAACACAAGCTAATACATTCCAGACTGATGTTTACTTTTTTTGCAGCAGTATTACATTGTTGGCTCATATGTAGTTTGAAATCCCCTATAGCCCCCAGAGCCTTTTCTGCAGTACTGTTTCCTAGGCAATCATTTCCCATTTTGCATTTGTGAAATTCATTATTCATTCCTAAGTGTAGTACTTTTCATTTGTCCTACTGAATATCATCTTATTTGTTTCAGACCATTTCTCCACTTTGTCAAGATCATTTTGAATTCTAATCCTGTCCTCCAAAGCACTTGCAAACTAAATTCCCTGTAAGCTGCGTGGCCGCACAGCTATTTAGCACCGCGCAGGCTCTCAGAGAACCAACCCGGGGACCATCTGGGGGAGGGGTGCCCCTCCTCCAGCCCACACCTAGCCCAGCCCCCAACCTGCCATGGCCAGGGCACCCCTTTGCCAGCCCCAACTCGGCTGTGGCCCGGACCGGACCCAGGCGCAGCCGGAGCGGCCCAGCCAAAGCAGCGCAGACCCAGGTGCAGCCGGAGCGGTTCTGCCCGGACGCCCCTCCCCTGACCCAAACCCAGCCCTGGCCTGGACCGGCTGGGACTGGGGGAGGGGTGCCTATCCTGCAGCCCCAGCCCAGGAGCTGCTGCTGCAGGGAGATGCACCTCTCCCCCCCCAGTCCAGGTGCTGCTGTGGG